CGATGAGGGTTGGTCGGTGCTCTCCCTGGTTTATGGTTGTCACTGGTTCACTGCTGCTTCTGAAGGTGAGGGCTATATTCTGTGGAAGGTGAGGGTTGAAGGTGAGGGCTGTTTTTGGTGGTGATTGATGATGAGGGTTGCCGGTGAGGATGATGGAGAAGGTTAGGGTTAGGGTATGACTCTAATACCAACTTGGAATAAACGTGAGAGAAAAATGATACAAACTAAATGTAGAGCCCTCATATATATAGCCAATAAAAGTCACAATAAAGATAAAAAAAAAAAAAAAAAAACTCTAATAAACCCTTATAACCTAGGTTGTTATAACTTCAACAGTAAGGAATTTACAATATCAGTGGAGAATTTACAACAACAAAAGTTGACTCAATGGATGTGACTTTATAACAAAAGGGGTTAAAGATACCAATTACCACATTTGGAGGAAGAGTTATCATAATTGTGGATCAGTTACCACAATTAAGGGTATGCATATCACTATTGAGGGCGAGGTTATTAGAATTGTGGACAAAATTAGTAGTTTAAAGAGTAACTTAATGAGACAAAAAATGTAAACAAAAAATTACAATATTAGTGAGAAAATTTATAACATCAGTGAAAAATTGACATCATCATTTAAAAATTTACAATAGTAGTGAACTTAGTAATTGACAAAATTACAATATTAGTGAAAAATGTCTTGGGCAACATAGCTTTTCCCTACTACTATATTAGTTAAAATTACGATATATGTAAGTAATGTTATAAACTTAAAAGTACATCAGTTGTGGTATCTTTACCCTAAAGGGCGGTAAATTCGCCCTAAATAAAAATCACATCACCCAAAATCATTGTAATATTATTCTAAAAGTGGTAATATCGTTCATAACAGTGGTAATATTATCTCAAACGATTGTAACATTACCGAACAGTGGTAAATTCAATTCCATTTACCAAATTAACAATAAAAAATATTCAAATTTCTTAAATTAACATTCAATTTGTCAAATTAACATTCAAATTCAATTAGTTGACATTAAATACATCAAATTAACATCAATATTAATATTTTATTTTAACCAATTAATATTAAATTCATCAAATCAACAACAATTTCACATTCAATTCCTCAAATTAATATTCAATTTCATCTAATTAACATTCAATTTATCAAATTAACAATAGATTAACATCTAAATTTAACAAATTCACATTCAATTATATTTAGTTAACATGCAATTTATAAAATTAATATAAAATTTCATCTAATTCATCAAATTAACATCCAAATTTCATCAAATTAACATCAATTTCATCAATTTAACATTTTATTTTATTCTATTAACATTGAATTTCATCAATTTAAACATTTATTTTTCACTAATTGACCTTTAATTTCATCCAATTAAGATTCAAAAACATCAATTACAAATTCAATTTTATCAAATTACAACCAAATTGACCATCTATTTAGTTTACTAACATTTAATTTCATCAATTTAACATTCTATTGTAGTTATACATTTAATTTCATTCAATTATTATAAATTTACCTTCAATTTTACCAAACTAATATTCAAATTAATCAATTTAAAATTTTAATTTCACAAAATTTAAAACGAACTGGCCTTCAATTTTATTTATTAACATTCAATTTCATTTTCTAAAATTTAGTTTCATCAAATTAGTACCAAATTGACATCTAATTACATCAAACTAACATTCGAATTCATCAAATCAACATTACATTCAAACTATGCATTCAATTAATATTAAAGTCATCAACTTTACACAAAATTGATATTCAATTCATCAAATTAACATTTAAATTCACCCAATTAGCATTAAATTTATCAAATTAACTTTCAATTTGATCAAGTTAACTTAAATTTTGAATTGATGAAATTGAATATTAATTTTAGTATTGATATAATGAGTTGGATCTCAATTGGGTTACATTGAATTATCAATTAATGAATTTTTAATGTTAATTTGAAAAAATTGATTGTAAATTTGGTGTTGATTTTACGAATATGATAAATTTAAATGTTAAATTCATGAATGTTAATGTTCATTCAATAAAAATCAGGATCAATTTGGTGTTCATTTGATAAAACGAATTTCAATAAATAAATTTGAAGCTGAATTTGATATTAATTTGATAAAATTGACTTTTTAATAAATGAATCGACTGTAAATTTAGTGTTAAATTCAACTAGATGAAATTTAATGTTAAATTTATGAATTTTGAGTTGATAAGCTTGAATAATTTGGTGTTGATTGAATGAATTGGAAGAAAATTAATGTTATATCCAATTGAGTTGATGAAATCAAATGTTAATATGTTGTTGATTTAATGAATTGGAAAAAATTGGATGAAATTGAATCTTAAATTCCACAAATTTAATGTTAATTTGATATAATTTGATGATTAATTTGGTGTTAATTCGATGAAATTTGATTTAATAAAAAAATTGAAGGTAAACTGGGTATTAAATTGATGAAATTGAATGTTAATTTTGTGTTAATTTAATGGATTAGATCTTAATTGGATAAAATTGAATGAAAGTAAACATTAAATTCATGAATTTTAATGTTTATGTAGTAAAATAGACAGTCAATTTGGTGTTAATTTTAAGAAATCAAAGTTTAATATAGGTGAAGTTTTTATTAATCTTTCTTTTATTCCAGGGCTTGTAACCTCAAACTTCTAGCTCAACTAAGAAGAGGGCTTCATTATATTCACACTAGCAGTTAGGTTTGGAAAGCAACCCTTAAGAAAGAACTGCATCATGGCCATAAGTTGGGGCAAATATAAGGTAGGTTACCCACCACCCGAGGGATAATAATCTTTTTCCTATCAGGCTTTGTCGAGTTAGCTTCAAAGCTTTGCTCCTTGTAATTCCTATCCTAACGCTTTGCTTTCTTCGTTTGCATCCGCTGTTGGATAATCCAAGCCAAGTCGACTCTCCCTTTTCCTCCCCAGCTAATTTTATAAGAGAACAGCTTTTAAGGTTGAGTTAGCAAGTCCCAGGGTATGCCCCGTCCTCTGTATTAGTTGAGAATCTTTCATCTTCTCTCCCTGCGGTTTATCCTATACAGATCCTCTGTCTTTGGCTGAGCCCTCGCTCTCCTTCCCTTCCGATAGCTCCTTCCTCTGTCGAGTTAGCCACGTCTTTCTCACCCTTCGCGGGATATGGCACCTCCTTTGAAAGAGAATCGGGATCGAGTTAGCACCTGCTTTCAGTCGAGCTTCTTTCCGGTAAGACATATCCAAAAGACCAGTTCCCTACCCTACTTTCCTGTGATGAAAGAAAAGGGCTTTATGCCCGGTTTAGTACTCGTGGAAAAGAACCTTTGCTTCGGTCGAATTCGAATACCCCACTCCCTTTTTAGTTCTTTCAGAATCAAGATTTTATTGAGGAATCTCCTTGCTACGAATCTACTGAAGGAGAATCTTTGGTTTAGAGTTTAGAGGCTGAGTCTTGCCCCCAACCCTATGAGTCGAGCTTTCTTCAAACGTTGTGTCAGCATCTGCTTAGATGGCACCTTGGCGAGGAATCTTTCCTATCTGGCTCAAGATCCTCTTAGTCAATCCATTTGAAATGGAACTTCTAGCCACTGGGTCAACGTTAACTCCACAAAGATTTTCGAGTTAGCTTCTGCTTACCTGCATTAGAAGTAAAGTCTTGGTACCAGTTACATACTTTTCTACCGGACTGATTCGTTTTCATTTCCTATCCTCCCCACCCCAAGAGCTTCTCTCCTAAACTAACTGGATGACCTCCGTGCCGTGGAGGCGAAGTCAAGCTGGCAACCTCCCTTACCTTACTTTTAGTGCTTTTAGTCTCGCCAATGCCTTCAGTCGAGTTAAACTTTCCAGCTACTCTGTACTCTTCTCTTACAGATGAAGTTAGAGATTTCGCTTTACCAAACCTTCTTCCAGAAGTCAAAGATTTTACAACCCTAGTTAGATTGTTATATTGGAATACAATATACTTAGCTAGCTGTGTTTTAGTCCCTCCTAAACCCTTCACTCCTCTAAACTTCCTATTCTTACCTACCCGCCTTCTTATGATCTAACTGCCTTTCTTCGACTAGTGCTATCAGTGCACTCCTTGCCTTAAGCCAGATCCGTGCTCGGCTAACCTTCTTTCCTTTCCTCTTT